CCAGAGGGTTTAATAAACTGTGGCAATCCGAGGTGAGAGAGGGTAGTATATGGTTTTAAGTTTGCAGGTTTTGTTTGCACAGGGAGGTGAAGGACAAGCATGGATGGAATCATTGATGAGGGAGCGTTAGCTGCAAACAGGGCTGCTGTGTCTCTGTAAATATTTCCACAGAATGAATGCAGTCTTCAAGAAATGTGTCAGCCGTCTTTAATGAGTTTGGACAATTGTGTTCAACATAATAATATATGAAGCGCTGCATAGTTTTATATTTTGCAAATGCATTTTTCCAAAAAACTATTGCTGTCAAAACAGCAGCAATTTAAAAAGAACTCCTGTTTGTGAATATAACACTACATATACTCGAACATCAATCCTTATAGAGATATATTTCAGTGAATAAAGAAGCAATTAAGGCTATCTTGTGTAGGTTTTCTCTAATAATTTACCAAATAACCACACAAGCAGGCTTCCTTGTCTGCAGTCTCCATGGAGTTCAGGGAACAGCTGGACCTTGTTGCTGTGGGACTTGTGCTGCCAGACTTCCAGAAGTCATGTTGTTGGTATTCCCACTGTGTTCACTGCCTCAGCTTCCTCTTCACACTTTCATGCAGTTTTTTATACACTTTAGTCTTCAAGCACCTCAGTTTTATACTTTTGAATTGATATATTTTTGCCCCTTTCATTCTATCTTTTGTTTCTTATAAAAAGAACACATAGGTTATCTTCATGCCCCAACTTATTTATTTTTGTCATCGCAACAAACGCAAACAGTAAAACTCAATTGTGCTATTACAACACGGTTTTCTTGAAGAAGAGGAGCTGGACTCAAATTATTGCAGTAGGCGATGTGCCTGTCGCACTATGGGCAGATTTAATTACATGTTCATCATCTGCAGTCTAAAAGTTGTTGTGGGGTTTGGGAGGAATTAGACAAACAAGAGCTCTCTGAAACTTGGCATACAAAATAATCCTTTGTTTTTTCCAAAAATAAAACCTGATGGTTGTAGACATTCTTACACACCCATGCAACTTGTTTGATTTACATCAGAAAGTCGAAGCTTTTATGGCTGAGCATCACAAGAGCTTGTAGGCTCCCCCTCCTGGTAACAACTGGAAGTGCAATGTCCAACTGAAGTTTCTTTTCATTAGTCTGTAAACCAAAAATGTTAAAACTCATACATATTCTCGTCCTACAGCATCTTATTATTATTATTATTGTATACCACCATATAGGTATTACTGGGCTTGTTTTACTCAATTTGCACTGCTGGCAATATTGTTTCAGTCACACCGACACATTTTTGCCCTGATTTTGGCCATCATAATTACCTAAAGCTGTATTTATTTATTATATAGAAAAATAAGAACATGGCTGATCACTGACTCAGTTCTGCAGAACAGGCCACTGAACAATGTACTAATTATTCATAAATGCCATTTGGTTGCAGGGACTTTTTCATACATACAGGCAGATTCTGAAATATGCAAAACCTGACTTATCATCTGAGAATTAAATGAGAAAATAGTCTTTGCAGAAGAAGTTAAGTTTATAAGATGCAGCAGTGGTTATATAAACAGTCATGTGAATATAATGCATTTATCAGTTTAAATGTTGCAGACATACGAAAGGCTGAATACTTTCTGTGTAAATTGTGACTGGAGAATGAGAGATTCCTATAGGACTTGAAGACTGAATTTTAATTATGTCATAATAGCATCAGTCTGTTCAGAGCTGATATAAAATGATGCTTTTGATTTAAAGCTTACATGAACACCTTTTTTTTTTCGAAGCTACAGCAGACAACATTTGATAATTTTGGTTTAGCTTAGATTTTTAAAAATTTGTTTCATTTTCATTTCACAAGACCTGCTGAACTCACTGTGGCAACCCCTGGAGAAGTGAGCAGCCAAAAGGAATAAGATCTGCTGACCAACTGGGTCTGAAGACGATGGGAACAAGATTCCTGTTTGTTTCTAAAGAATCAACCGCGTGTCTCCTTTTCTGTAAAGTGCCGAGAATTTTCTCGAGTACAAGCACAGCGTGCAAAGTCGAGGTCAGCATTGGATTTCTGAGAAAGCAGAGGGTTGCCAGTTTAGCATCGCTCAATAACTTCCCACACTTCCTCCGATTTCTTCTGCAGGCCTCATACATCGAGTGTGCTCTCTCTGAATGCATGTGTGTGCAATGTCCAGGAGCAGCTTCCCCTCCATCACTCATCCAACTTCACACCTTGCTGTTAGCGCTCAGCACACAAATCCTCCAACACAGGTGCTGAAAATAAAAGCAAACAACAGCAGGATATTTACTAAAATGCAACAGACCACTAAATTAGATGGTTTTTTTTTTTGTGAACGTTTTAACCAGCAGGTGAAAATGTGTTTGCTGCTGCTGTAGTTTCCCAAAAGAATTGTGTTCAGGAGTGTTATTTTTATGTCTCATCCCAGGCTCAGTCCTGCCGCTGTGGGGAGCCTACTCCTATTGTGTGTCGATAAACATAGTGTGTATACATATACACTTTGTATGCAGAGGTGTGTGTCTTTGTGTGTGTGCGTACATGTCTGGCAGTGCTCCAAATCTCAAGGCTAATGGAGTGCTAATGTCTCTGGTGTGCCCATGTTTACTTAATAGCAACATATGGGAGGACAAGGAGAGAGCCTTCGCCTCCTTAAGCATGACACGGCTTGTGACTCACTGGTCTCACAACGATTCCAGCATTTCTTCCAGAAATATTCCTCATACGCTGAGAATTACAGTTTGATCCTGAACCCCTGCACTTTATTCTGTTGACGCTCTCTTGTTGATTAAATCCTCACTTTTTTTTTTCCTGATTAAAGCAAATTTCTTTTTTTTTTTTTTTTTTTATCAAGCCAAATATGAAACAGGATCATTTATCATCAACGTACTTCTGCTAAACTTACTCAGATTGTTTAACTTTGCATTATGCCGTTCCCTTCGTTTAATGAAACGTGTCGCTCTTCTCTCGTTCTTCATGTTTCTCAGTTGGTGAAGGCAAAAACCTCATACCTATGGACCCCAACGGCCTGTCTGATCCGTACGTCAAACTGAAGCTCATACCAGACCCTAAAAACGAGACCAAGCAGAAGACCAAAACAATCCGCTCCAACCTCAACCCCAAATGGAACGAGACTTTTACATTGTGAGTGTGCAGTGAACTACAATACGTTGTTGATATTTTTAACTGTATTCATTTGATATCAAGATTTATTTTGAGAAGCTCATTTACACTCTAATGTATAGCTTTAAAGTCACTATTTGCATTATTACTTTAGTATAATCTGTACTTTATGTAGTTTTGATATTCATAGTTACCATGATTTGTTCTGCAGCAAGCTGAAAGCTTCAGACAAAGACCGCAGGCTGTCCGTAGAAGTGTGGGACTGGGACCGGACCACCAGGAATGACTTTATGGGGGCCCTTTCCTTTGGAGTGTCAGAGCTCATGAAGTCTCCAGTTTGTGGCTGGTAATGCTGTTTTGAAAAAAAAAAAAAAAAAATCAACTATCACAAAGTTTAAAGTCCTGAATCTGTAAAATTCTTCATTTAAAAAAAGCACTTTAGGTTTTTGTTTAATAGAAATGTCTCTTACAGAAAATACTGTTTAATGACAATGTTTATTTTATTTTATCAAGCAGTAAAATGCTGTTATGCATTCATTTCATGTTATATTTTACACTTGGTTCTATTAAATAAACTTGATCATTTATCTTTTTTTACTATAACAGAAACCATAATGTAGATCAAATGATTGTGTTGGAGCTTTGTGTATAAGAACTGGATTGATAAATTATTCTGTGACATGTGAGCAACTTTAAAGTCCAACACCCACCACTGCAGTCCCATGTGCTCTAAAGGGGTAATCACTGTCATAGAAAATGATAGTTAGGATTTATTTTTTTACATTCAGGCCACACAAGTATTAAAAAAACCTAAAGCAGACAAACCAGTTAAGGAAACAACCAAGCATACGGCCGATTATTACAGAAGGCTGATGAAGTCACGCCAGGGAGACTTCTTTCCTCTTCTAAAACTAAACTCTAAAACTCTAAAAAATAATGGATCTCCAACTTCCTCATCAAAGTCCTCACTCTGTCTCAGGCTGTTTTTTCTTTTCCATCTCTGAGTCTGCAGCTCCATCCACCACCGCAAACAGAAGCTGCAGCTTCACGTTCAAAATTTGCCTCATAATTTGACTCAAACACACTAACACTGATTCAACACTAAATACACTACACCCATCCATCCA